CACGCACACACACACATATATAAAAAGACAAAGTCTTCCTTCTTTTCCTAAGGTGCAGCCTCAACATTTTCACCTAATTTCCCTCCTTCTCCACCCACAAGAGAACCAGGCCCTTTTAGGAATGAAAGACTAAGCCACTATCTGAAAACACATTAGCACATATTCTTATTTTACTCAAGAGACATTCAGGAGTCACTAAAAGACAGGGGAATGACACCTGAAGAGGATATTTTGGGCTGTTCTGTGCAGTGACTGGGCCCATATTCATCTTCATAATCCAGTAGATATTTGTACTAAACACTGTTTATAAAATACTTTTCACAGGCATGATCTCATTTGAACATCACATGCTGTGAGGTAAGGACATTACTGTCCTCATATTAGAGATGAGGAAACTGAGGCTCCAGGTTGTGTCTTCAGATCCAGTGCTCTTTGCCTCCCCCCACCACCCCAATCCTCCAGCAATTATGGTAGAGTTCTACTGGAGCAGGCAGCTGATCAACGTGTGCGGTCAGTTGATCACCTCTCAGCAATGCTGGGAAGGAAGGACACAAACCTGAGCCCTGTGTGTCAGGCAGCGGCCAGATATTTCCTGTACATTTTCTCCCCAAATTTCCCCAACTTACACTCCCTGGGTTCAAACCGCAGCTTCAGCACCTGTTAGCGGTGTGGCCTTTTAGGCCAGTTTAACACTCCATCTGTGCCTCGGTTTCCTCAGGTATAAAATGAGAATAATGCTATGTCCTCTTCGTAGTGTGAGGAGGTATAAATGAGCTAACCCACTAAAACATGTAACCCTGCGCTATAAGAACCCTTGCATATGAACTATTATTATCATTGTTATTTCCCCTTGTTCTATACATGGGGAAGAATGTTCATAAAGATTAAGTGGGAACGCTCCTGAGATTGGAACCTAAGTTTGATTCCAAAGACCTTACTTTTTTGCTGCCTTCAGGGACCTTTCCACTTTTTTACTCTCTGCTCTTTTTCCTCCTCCTTAACCCTTCTTGGTACAGAAGGGTTAATACCCTTAATTGCCCGTAAGCAGTGTTTCTGATCCTAGGCTGCCTGCATTAGAATGATCTGAAACCTACTCCCTATGGACCAAATCAGAATTTCTGGAGCTGAGACCAAGGAATCTGCATTTTCATAAGTAACACAAGTGATTCTCTTACACCCAGATAGAGGTCAAGAGGCACTGACTCAGACTGTCCACTGGAGCAGCTGTCCTTGCCTGGGCCTGCCCAGCCTTCCCACCTCCCCTTTCACCCAAGAAGTGCCCCAGAGTTTTCTTGCTGCAATCCCTCCCTCCCATGCACATCCCCTATCTGCTATTTCATGATTAGGAATACAAGGCCTATGTCAGCTCACTGTGGGGCTCCTTGTCTTTCCAATCTATTGTGAATAATGGTTTATTAAAGTAATGGCTTATTTTGCCTCAGCATCAGGCCAGCTCAAGTCAGAGCAGGGAAAGGGTGGGGGCAATAGGTGAGGAGAGGCAGTGGATTGGGCAACATACATTCCATGCACAAAATCCACCATGTACAAAGGTGCAACAGTTATTCACCTAGAAACTTGCAAACTGCAGCAGGGTCAAGCCTACAAAAATGAGATAACACGGAGCAGAGCAGGTAAGCACAAAAGAACAGAAACTAAGTCAGTATTTTTATTAGAGCTTTATCTTATCTCTCATGCACAGCAGATTCCTTCCAGAGAGGAGGCTCATATCAGTTACCATTTGCTTTCACTTAATCCAGCTTTGCAAATAATAGCCACTCTTACCTCTAATTCATGAGTCCACCAAAAAACTTTTGCTCAATGCCCTTTGAGGTTGCTATGACTGAATCTCAGAATGTGACCCAAGGCAAACTCCATTTCTGGCTTTCTTATCATGATTTTTTTGTGGCCTAAATTTCTCCTTCAATTGGACTTAATCTCTGGTTATGTAAACAGCTGGAGATATCCTAATTCCTGAGGGGATATCAAAGAGCTGTAATGAGTGCGGAAAGGAGTTGAGGGGGTGGGGAAAAATAGAAGAAAAATAAGCATTAATTATTAAATGCGTAGGAGATTTTAAAAATCACATACCATTTGGCACTTTTCCTCTCCACAGTGCTCTATTCCCATTAAATGGAAGGAGAGCCAGGCCTCTCACTATGGCAAATTTGCTTAATTGTATTTTCTCTCTCCTAAAGTGGGAAGGGCTTAAAAACTTGCTTCCCATGGTGGTCACCTTTGCTCTGAATGAGAATGCATTTGCCCTTTCCAGAACATCGATGCCATCTCGTACTTTACAAACTGGATTTGGAACCACTTAACAAAGGCAATATGCAAACACATGTGAATAAGACGAAATCAGCTAAGGAGTCCAGAATCCTGGGTATGATTTTATAATAGAATGCATACACCACTCTTGGCTTTATTTTACTTGCTGGTGGAGAAGTTCAGGGACTGGATGTCAAAGGAGAAATAGGGCGATACAAATATAGAAGTTCATGAAGTGCCTCACCCTCCACAAGAGAGTGGGTCTGGATTTACCCACCATACCTTCCATATCATTGAATTTCGGGAGTAGGGTTGATGTTACCATTATAACTCATTGTCACTCAATGATTCAGGTAATGCGTGTTCTGATTGGAGACTTGGAAATCCAGTCACTACAATCATAGGTGCTGCCTTCTTGCCACTCACATCCCAAGTGGGAATAGCCCAGGTGAGTCACGCCCCACACCCTCTCCTAGAAGCTGAGGATTCACCCAATGTCAGAGGCCAAATCATCCTCAGATACCATCTAGTCAAACTTCCTAATTTTACAGATGGGCAAACTGAGAGCCAGTGGCCCAGTGTCACAATAATACAGGGAGTTGGTGGCTACACAGAAATAAGGATTTGGGTCCTTTGAATTTTGGTCCAGGAACTACCATTTTGTTCTTTAAGAGTTTTTAAAGGACACAGAAGCACATTTTCTAAAGTCTTTATAATCTTTGTGTGTGTGTGTGTGTGTGTGTGTGTGTGTGTGTCTGTGTGTCTGACAGTCTCGCTCTGTCACCCAGGCTGGAGTGCAATGGCACGATCTCAGCTCACTGCAACCTCTACCTCCTGTGTTCAAGCGATTCTCATGCCTCAGCCTCCTGAGTAGGTGGGATTACAGGCGCCCACCACCACGCCTGGCTAATTTTTGTATTTTTAGTAGAGACAGGGTTTCACTATGTTGGTCAATCTGGTCTCGAACTCCTGACCTCAAGTAATCTACCCACTTTGGCCTCCCAAAGAGCTGGGATTATAGGCATAAGCCACCGTGCCGGGCCAAAGTCTTTATAATCTTAAAAGGAGAGAGAGGAAAGAGATAAGCGTAAGAAGGAAGGCATAGCTAATTAATTGGAGGGGGATGGTCTAAGCTCAAGCTTTGAAATGAAACAGCTGGATCGACCACTTAGTTGATGTGTGAACTTGGAAATTCACCTAAAGTTACTGAGTCTTAGCCCTCATCTTTTTTTTTTGAGATGGAATCTCGCTCTGTTGCCTGGGCTGGAGTGCAGTGGCACGATCTCGGCTCACTGCAACCTCCGCCTCCCGGGAGAATGGGCACGCCATTCTCCTGCCTCAGCCTCCCGAGTAGCTGGGATTACAGGCGCGTGCCACCACACCAGTTAATTTTTTTTTTTTTTTGATATTTTTAGTAGAGATGGGGTTTCACCATGTTAGTCAGGTTGTTCTGGATCTCCTGACCTCGTGATCTGCCTGCCTCTGTCTCCCAAAGTGCTGGGATTACAAGCGTGAGCCACCGCGCCCAGCCAGCCCTCATCTTTTAAATTGAGATGGTAATTGTGCCTACTTTGCAGGGTTGTGTAAGGATTAAATAAGATAATGCACAGATCCTGGCACTGACAAAATGCTTAATAAAGATGGGCTATTATTATAACTCCAGTGCAGACACCCAAGGACTTGGATAGACTGCCAAGAAATCAGTCCTGAGGGGGCCTGTCCTTCAGCCAAACTTCCTCCCTGCCAGATCCTCTCTTCCAGCCTGGGCTGCTATGCTGCACAAGTCCTCCACTCTACCCCTCCAAATAAATGGCAATCATGACATTTTTATTATCCAGCTTCA